ATGATATTGAAGTTGATGTGTTTTGTTTTGTTGTGTTGTATCGTGAAACATATTTTTGTTTTGGGCATTTTTTGGGAGGGTGGCATTTTGTTGTTTTTTCGTCATGTTTTGTTTTGTGGAAAAGCGGCAGAAGTGTTGTGATGGGTGTTTTGTGTGAAGATCAATCAAATGGAAATAAATATATTTTGGGAATTAAGGGAAATGTGGGAGAAAAATAGGCGGGTATTTTTATGGAGTATTGTATAATGATTGGTGACGATCAAATGGAGTTTTTTTGGCAGGGAAAATTATTTATGAAGGGAATATACAATTTTACTGGAAAAAAGCAACAGTAATAAATATGAAAAAATTTATATTTTTATAAAAAAAAAAAAACAGTAAGGAAAATAGTAAAGTCGGACTGGGCCGACTATATGATACCCTCAACCACTTTGAAGAAACGTTTAAATATGTGATCTTTATCGATATCTAAACCGTCTAACATTAATCCTCACTCATTCAGGGATCATTTTCAGGGACTTTGTTGCACCATTTACTGAAAATCGGGCGAATCTATATATGAGAGCTATATCGAAATCTGAACCGATTTTCACGAAACTTAACACACATCATTCTAGACTTAATTCATTGCGCTGTACCAAAATTCGTGCAAATTGAATGATTTTCAGGGACTTTGGTGCACCATTTACATAAAATCGGGCGAAACTATATATGAGAGCTATATCGAAATCTGAACCGATTTTCACGAAACTTAACACACATCATTCTAGACTTAATTCATTGCGCTGTACCAAAATTCGTGCAAATTGAATGATTTTCAGGGCCTTTGGTGCACCATTTACATAAAATCGGACGAAAATATATATGGGAGCTATATCGAAATCTGATATAAAACATTTTCAATTTTTTTATAAAATTTTTTCAATTTTTTTATAAAAATTTTCCAATTTTTTTATTAAAATTTTCCAATTTTTTATAAATTTTTTTTTATTTAGAAATATATATTTTTAAAATATATTCAAAATTTAGAACCAATCATGCAACTCTGATGCTTTTTTGAGTTTAGATCTCGTTTAGTTCACTTTTTTGCAATGATTTTTGTCGCCTCTCGTTGTTGTATTTTTTTTCGATTCATTTCGTATTTTGTTGTTCTTCTATTTAGTTTTGCACAAAATGTGAATGTCCTCTGTTAGCCCACAAATTAGAAAAAAATTGCAATGTAGCGCGAGGTTGACGACTGTTGTTTAGTTCAGCTGGCTTGGCTGGCTGGTTGGTTGGCAGTCACGTACCCACACAGACACACTCCAATAGAATATAAGCATAAGAACCCTCAAACCTCTTACCTGGCCCTGCAACTGAAAACTACAATCATTTGTTGTGTGTTTGTGTGTGTGCCTGCTGCCCCCCTGGGGTGGGGGAGCGTATGAGTAACTGAGTAGAATTTTATTGCTGCTATGCAGTTGCATTGAATGCATGCAAAAACAAAACTTTGAAATCAAACTCACGTGTACGATGTACACCAACAATGGTAGTATTCTCCACTAAACGAACGAATGAACAACAGCCATGCACACACACACTCATGTACTGGGAGAGAGAGAGGGTCTCGTTGCAGTGCTTGCTTAGGCTAGTGCTAGATAGCTCCCCCCAATAGTAGTGTGCTGTGTGTGTGTGCTTCGTGTTTTCTTGTTGTTGAGTAGTTTCTCGTGTGTGCTCGCTCGCGCTCTTCCATTCGTTTGAGTGACTTTGTTGTGTGGTTCGTCGTGGGGCCAGCCGCCAACGAACCTCACTATGAGTCGTAAAACTCTACAATCATTCGCTAATTGTGTGTCAAACTTAACGGACGTGTTTGCGTGTGATTTTATTTGAACAAGAAATTAATTCAAAGTTGAACAAGACAAAAACAGCAAAGTCCAAAGAAACAAACAAAACAGAAGCAAACAAAAGAAATAACAACGCGTCGTTTGTAATAAAACAAAAATAAATACAATATTTTTGCGCTAAAAATTTGAAAAATAAAAAATCAAAAAATAAATAGCCAGAAGGAAATAAAGGAAAAATTACAAAATAAAAAAGGCCATACGAACGGACCTTTTGAAAAAAGACGGTGGTGGAGAAAAAAAGCCTTGCCGCCAAAAAAGGCTACAATTTTTGAATGAAATAAAAATTAAAAAAATTCTGGCATAAAAGAAATAATTTTTGGCGCTTTGTTTTTTAAAAAAGAGAAGTGGCAAAAAACAAATTTTAAAAAAATGTTCCTTAATAGTAAAATTTTAGTTTAAAAAAATTATTGTGATTTCACAAAAATTAAAAAATAAAAATCCAACCAAGTGTCATTTTAACCAAAAAGAAAAATTTTTAAAAAAAAATCAAAAAAGATTTTTTGAAAAAAATATTTTTTCAAAAATCTGATTTTTAAAATAAACGTAAAAAATGGTGTGTGCTATGCAGGAATTAACCACCTCGGCTGTGGCCATTACCGAACATCATCATCATCACCATCATCATCATTTGCATGCAGCACCGCCACAAACAACCACACCAACAACATACCCGCAGCTACAACAACACCAGCAATCCCCCACACAGCAATTGGAGGTGGTGCGAAGTTTGGGAAATGGCCAATTTTTGGCCACCACAGCCTCAGGGCAGACGGTGATTGCTGGACCGCCACAGGTCGCACAGCAACAACACCAGACAACAAATGGTGTTCCGCAACAGCAACAAATGACCACCACAATTGTGGTCCTGGCCACGGCGGCCTTGGCCAATGGTCAACAACCCCAACAACAACAATACCAAATTCAAATTCCGCAACAGCAGCAACAGTTGCAACAACAACCTCTACACCAGCAACAAAAGTTGACAACGAACAAAAGCCAACAGCTGAAGAAGCAGCATGCCTCCTTGGTGAGATTATTGGAATCGGCGCCCATAACCAAAAAGGTCATGTCGGGGCATGCCCCACAGCAGCAACAACAGCCAGCCGGAATGAAAATGACACAAAATACTAGTCCTGTGGTGCAGCAACCGAACATGTTGCCGTTGCAATTCCAGCAACATATTGTCATACCTCAACAGCAGCAGCAACAGTTGCCACAGCAACAACAACAAATTATTTATGTGGAACAAAAACCTCAACAGCAACAACAGTTGCAACAACATCAGACATTAGCTCAACAATTGGCACAACCAAAAAGACTGAAGCAACAACAAAACTCAACAACCTCCAACAGCAACACCTCCTCCTCAAACAACAACAACACCACCACCAGCAACAACACCTCTACATCGGTTGTCATTGTGGCTGGCAACAACAAGACAACAACATCAGCAGTTAACTCTGCTGGCCCCAACATGGCACAACAACAGCAACAACAATTAGTAGTATTACCCGCTCCAAATACAACACCAGGCTCGGAAGTGACCCCAGCCTCAGGTGACAAGACAAACACTGCGTATCACAACAACTCCAACAACAACAACAATCTTAGTACAATACAAGAACAAAAATCTCATGAAGGATCTCCAAATACCCCCTCCTCTCACACAAACCAAACAGCTGCAGCTCCCGAAGCCACAACGGAAGGCAAGGGTGCTTCCGAGGCCACCAGCAACTCCACCACGACGCCGACGCTCTATGAACCGCAACAGTGTCCGTGGAAAAAGATACGCTATGCCCGTGAATTGAAGCAAAAGGAGCAGCAGCAACAACAACACAACAAAGAGGATAGCCATAAGGACCTCAAGGAAGAAGAAGCCAAGAAGCAGAAGCAACAGGAAGGAGGAGCAGGAGTAGCAGAAGAGCAACAGCAACAACAACAAGAACAAATATGTGATAAATTAGCCCAAAATGACAAAGACAAGGTGAACAGCAACAACCACACCTCCCTCACAGGAGCAACAACACCGGCCCCCATGGCCGCCGCCGCCTCCGTTCACCACAGCCACAACAAAGAATTAAACCTCGCCGAACAAACCCACAAAGAAATAGCCATGCTACTCAAGCAACAACAACAAAACTATCAGCAACAAATGCAATTGCAACAACAGCAGCGTCGTGATAGTTCCGACAGCAATTCCTCCATGATTAGCAACACCTCCAGTACACATTCCTCCTTGGGGCAGGGTTGCACCTGTACTCCCCAGCAGCTGGCGGCACAGCGTGACAGCAGCAACAATTCCAGCAGTGATGATGATGCCATTATGGATGATGGTGGAGAGGAGGATGTCCTCTGCAACTGTCCGAATTGTTGTGCCATGGACACAGATGCCGAGGATAATAAGGAGGAGGATCTAAGCACCCTGAATTATTTGTGTCAGAAATTCGATGAAAATCTTGAAACTGGCAAACATCAACAACAACAAACCGATAGCAACAACACCTCCAGTAATAATAATCAGAACACCACCACCGATCAACAACAACAAGATGCCATATTTAATAAAATAATGAAAAATGAAAATGATATTGAAAATCAGCAGCAGCAACAGCAGGACACCAACAAAGAACAACGAAATGAGAAAGTAAATGTTGAAAAAAATTAGGAAATTCATAAAATAATTTATTAAGTAGATTTAATAAAGAATAAATTAAAATTTCAAAAAAAAATTTAGAGAAATAATTTTGAAATTTTTTAATATCAAAATTATTTTTTTATATTTTTATTGAAAAAATTTAAATATTAAGTAAAAAATATAAATTAAAAACCTAAATAATTTTGAAATTTATAAAAAAAATTGAAATATTTTTTTTAAGTATTTAAAAAAATTTAAATTTTTGCTCAAATACTTTCAACATGATTCTTATTATGTTTTATTCTAAATTTTTGTAACTCTAAAAAATATAATTTCGTTTAAATTTTATCAATTTTTTTTAAAATATTTATCTCCAACTCACTATTTTTTATATTATAAAAATCATTTATTTACTTTTATTATTATTATTTTCTTAAAAAATATTTTATTAAAAATTTCACTTTTTTTCTCCTTCCTTCCAGGGCTTTTTCCGTCGCTCCATACAGCAAAAGATCCAATATCGCCCCTGTACAAAAAATCAACAGTGCAGCATATTGCGCATCAATCGCAATCGCTGCCAATATTGTCGGCTGAAAAAATGCATTGCCGTCGGCATGAGTCGAGATGGTAAGTCACAATATTTTTTCATTCAAATTTATGTATTAAGGGGGGGTAAAATTTATTACAAAAAAAATTTGGAGTGGTCGAAGGACCAAATATTTTACATAGAGCAAAAAACTGTCACCAAAAAATAGGTCGAAGGACCATTTTATCTCACGAAGAAATTAAAATCTATTTTTTTTAATTTCAAATCTTATCGAAGGACCAACAAAAAGCAAAAATAAGAGCAAGAAAATGTTTAACAAAGAAAATTGGAAGGTCGAAGGACCAAATATTTCATGTAGAGCAAAAACTGTCGCCGTATTCAATAAAATGAACAGGTCGAAGGGTCGTTTATCTCAAGCAAAAAACGGAAACAATTAAAACATAAATCGAAGGACCGATTGAAGTTTTTAATTTCAAATTTTGACCAGTCGAAGGACCAGTATTATATATAATAGAAAAATGATTATAAATAAGTCGAAGGACCATTTATTTCAAGAAAAATGGGAAGCAATCGGACATATTTCAATCGTAGAACTATTATTATAATGCTGAGATCGATTGCATTTAATTTGACTGGTCGAAGGACCAATATTTTATGTAGAGAAATGAGTTTCAGATTTTTCAACAGGTTGAAGGACCATATAATTTACGTTAAAAACATTTTTGTAATTTTGGGTTTTCTGTAATTTTTTAAATATAAACCTTAATAATTTTTCCAGTCGAAGGACCAACTTTTTTTTTAATGACACTCCATTACATATTTTTTTCTTTTTATTTCATTTTACTTGTTTCAAATATTTCGGCATTCCCTTTCAATTTGTTACCAAAGTCCCCTCCATTCTAGAATTTACCTCGACGAAGGACCAATTTTTTATTGTGACTCCATTTGGTTTTTCTTTTTATTTCATTTTACTCCTCTACACCAAAATCCGAATTTTATTTCAAATCCATTTCCAATTAATTTCTCAAAGAATTAGAACATTTCCCAGAATTCAGAATTTGTTTATTAGCACCTTTGAAATTCTAGAACATGATTAATTTGGCCAGGAAATTTTTGTTTATCACTTGCCCAAAAGTTCAATAACCCGGCCTGCCTACTGCTACATTTTTTTATTACGTATTATTGTTTATTTTTTGTTTACAACAAACTTCCTCTTCTTCTTGTTTGTTATTTTTGCATATGGCAAAAAATTGTGGTATTTTTGGGGCCAAACAAATAACAAGTTTTTTATTTACATTGCGCGTTTGTTTTTGGATGACAAACAAATTCACAATCAAGTTCATTCACCTGGGCCAGAAGTTTGACTTCGTAGTTAGTCAGACATCGTCTTGGCTTTCAAGAACAATGAGTGTGATTCAGCCAAAGAAGTCTCGTTTTTATAGTTTTTTTGTTGTTTTTTCTGGAAAGTAGAGTGCCAAATCCGCACTTGCTGAAGCGCGATAACAGCACGCTTATTTATTTAGTTCAAGTTTTTGGGGTTCACATTGTGTGTGTGAGTGTGTGTTTGTGCTGAATTTTTTGCGCCATAATTGTTTAAGCAAATTTTTGTTTTTATTATTATTATTCTTGTGGGCCATATAAATGTGCTGTTTTTGTGTGTCATCACATTGGTCTGCTGCTTCTGCTCACCCGCACAATCATGTGAAATTGTTTTTGTTAAACGACCCTGGTTGCCTGCCTTGCCTCACTGGCTGACTGATATGGTCCGCCCGTTCGTCCGTCTCGTTAAACAGAATATTATGAAATGGTGCTAAAAGTTGAATGAACGCACTTAACCTAAATTTTTGCAGGCACACACAGCCAGACCCCCTACTCCTCCTCCTCCGCCAACCCACAATACATTTGCAAACGTAAATTATATGCACAAACAATAACCATGAGATGATAAGGAGGAGAGAGCCGACATGAGACGAGAGAGAGAGGATAAGAATTTAGGCCTTCAAAAAAATATATGTTTGTTTGTTTACATTAACTTGAAAAAATTCAGCATTTGAGATTGATAAATTATTTTATTTTTCCCCCGAAAAATATTATAACATAATATTATTTAATCACAAAAACACACAGCCAGTTGTTATGCTTCAATAATGTAATACGTGCTGCTTTCTGCATGTCTAAACAGGAAATTGCCATAAATTGTAAAGAAAACAACTAAAATTCCCCCTTTAAAGAAAGCCAAACATAACACTCTCCACAGGGAAACATAAACGGGAGAGTTAAAACAACAACTATGTAATCAACACACACACACACACAGAGAGCCTCTTCTTCATTACTGGATTGCCTAATACTTTGTTATGCTCCCCATACATTATTTGGCTGCTCTCCCCACCATATCACAAACAACAACAACAATTTCTACAAACAACACGTTATATCGATGGTATGCGTGCGTGTAACTCGTAATATCGTGTATACGACGACTTACCATATCATCATCGTCGTCGTCTTCTTCGTCTCGGTCGTCCCTCGTTGCTTGTCTACTATATAACACGAGCCATAACCATGTTGTGTTGTGTTGATGACGACGAGTTCATTGACTCTTTCTCATGGCTCTGCTATGGCCGCTGGCGTCTCTGCTGCTAGCACTGTGTGTGCTTGCTTGCTTTACCAACAACAGAGCCCCTACGTGTGCTGGCGCTGCTGGCGTCAACAGCAAAGAAATGAAAAATGAAAGTAAATGTGTTATGTGTGCTCGCCTCGTCTCGGTTCGTCTTGTCTCGTCTCTGTTTTGGTATTCAATGCAGAGACCGAGCAGGCGAGCGGCCGACCTCCATACATTTGATGTGTGTGTTATGTTTCTTTCTCCTCTGTGGCTCTCCTTTCCCACTGCCTGTTGAAACAACCAACCAACCTCCCCCAAAAATAACAGTTTATCTGTGGCGGTGTTGTTGTTATTGTTGTTATTGCGGTTATTTGTTGTTGCGTTTGCTGTTTTTATATAAAACTGGCCATGTGCTTATTTCTTTTATTATCTTTCAAGGAAACTTAAAATAAAACATTATTTTTTTATACAATGTGGATGAATGTGTTTTTGTTGTTGTTGTTTCGTATACAGTTCAGGTTGTTGTTGCCTTAATTTTTCATTGGTTTATTTTGTTTGTCGAAACAAAAAAAATAATGAATACAAGGTCTTGATGAAAATACAAAAAAAATGCAACAACAATAATGAATTAAAAAAATACATATACCGTTAATGAAACAACAACCACAGAAAAAAATGAAAATAATTTATTAACTTTTTGAAGGTAAAAAAAACTAAAAAAATAGGACGAGCAAGCAAAAAAAAAATATTAAAAAGGAAAATAGGTAACAGAGATAAAGAAAAAATTAAAGGAAAAAAATAAAAACTATTGGAAATAAAAAATATATTTTTTTATACAAAAAAAAAAAAACAAAATCAAAATCAAACCCAACGTTGGTCTCCATTTAGGAAATTAATTTATTTTTAATAAATATTTAAGATGAATTACTAATTCCAGCAGACTTTATAATTACTTTAGAAAATTTAGTTTCGTTCGGGTCCCACGTTGGGCGCCATATTTTGTTATATAATATATTCCGAATTTATTACAAAAAACTACTTATGTATATTTAATGAAAATGGGCTGAGGTAGACCCCTCTGTCATGGAAACGAGTTATCAATAGTAATTCCAGCAGCCGTCTATTATTTTTTTAAAATAATTTAAAAATTTTCTGCTCCCATGTTGGGCGCCATATCACCTTTTTATAATTTATTCCACATTTATTACAGAAAAAATACTACTAATATTAATTTAATCAAAATGAATATAAGAATTAATATTTTTGGGTCCCACGTTGGGCGCCACATATATTTTTTAAAGTTTTAGAAAGATTTTTTAGGTCTTGTTCTTGGATGCGTGCCCAACAAAATTCTTCCACAACACTATTAGCCTATTTTTTTAAATTCCGAAACCTAAATACTTTTTTCTATCTTTTTTTAAAAATAAATTTCCTTCAAACATTTTTGTTTTGAACAATTTATTTTGTGTTTTTTTTTTCTTTTAAATAAATTATCTCTACATTTTGCCATGTTTGACCTAAATAAACACTCAACACAACACAAAATATTTATATTTAGAAATATTTACTAATTTATTATTAAAAACAACAACAACAACGAACTATCACACACACCACTCATACATCGAACAACACACAAAACTATTTCCTAACCCAACTCTACGACTTTCACTTTCTTTGTTGTGTGTGATTGCACAAAAGCCAAAACAACAAAAAAAAAACTTTCTTTTTCATTTTGGCCATGGATTTTTGTGAAGACAAGTTAATGTTGTTGTTGCTGTTACAACAACAACCAAATCATAGTAAATTTTATTGTAACAAAAAACAAAAATAATCACCATCATCGTGTGATGATGACCAAAATGAAAACGAAACTGTAACCAACAAAAATTTCTTTTTCGTTTTTTTGTTGTTGCCTATATTCCAAAAAGTCTGCTAGCTGGCCCCAGGTTTTTCCGCCGTGGCCGCTTCAAACTCTGCCTCCCTCACCCATTCTTGTCTTCTCAAAAAACAAAACTCTTACAAAATTTCACTCTACTCTGTAAGAGTAGTTGTGCGTTTCACTTTTATCTGTTGGAAAACAAGAGAGAGAGGGAGCGAGAGAGAGGAGGGAAGGCTATGCCTTGTTGTTTTTATTAACATTCAAAGAGGCCAGGGGTTTTGTTGGGAGGGAGGCAGCTTTCATGGCAATTGTATAAGTCGTATGGTTGTGTGCCTTTGTGTGTGTGTCTGTTTGTGCATGTTCAAGAGCCTCTGAAGTTCATTGACCGGGCATGTCTGACGTTGGTTCGTTCACAAAACTGCGAAACTAGGTCACAATCAGCCAGCCAGCAATAGCAACAATCAACAATATCGTATGCATACGTACGTACATACATATGTATGTACGTGTGTGTATGTGTGTTTGTATGTATCTTAAGTGCTATAGATTTGTGTTGTTGTTGCAGACAAAGTGTCAGTCGTCATATCAGAAAA